TGATTCTAGAATAAATACATTTTGAACTGAAACTTACTTCAGTGTAACCTGTTCAGTTGAAATGAAATATAAATTTGGCAAACCTAGGGACAATTTAAGACATTTTTCAAATATATCGATGAAGATACATTAACATTAGAAATAAATTGACTGAACAAAATACAATTAATTTATTAAAAATTAGGAAGCATGATAAAAAATACTACAGCCTTTCCAAGACTATTGATTTATGAATATAAGTGATAGAAATAATTGTGAATAATTTAGGCTTCAGTTCTATATCCACTTTATCATATAATATAAAAAGATTTTATTTGTGTTTTAATGCATAAACTTTAACTAACATCTCTCTGTGTGTGTCTGTGTCTCTGGGTGTAAAGTACTACCTTTTTTCCTTTACAAATCATCAGAAAATTTGGGATAGCTATGCTTTTCATGTGTGATCCTACAGCCTTAACTAGCAACTAAATAACTTTATTTACTTGTCTGATTTAGTCAGAGATCTTTTACTGTCTCTCTAAAGGTACATTATACTTAATCTTAGCAAAAAAAGCAAAGAAGCTGCTGGATTAAAATAGTAGTTTTATAAAGCTGCCCTCAGGTGTACCAATAAACTTGACAGCAAATTCTTTTCTGTTTTATCTGTGTAGCATATTGAAGGCAAAAAATAAAAAATAAAAAGGTCATACGAAGCAGATGCTAGTGTTCATTTAGCATCCATTTGCATTTTTTAAAACAAAGTAGATCTTTTCCTGGTTCAATTTTAAGTTCTGGAACGGAGCCATACCATCTTAGGAAAAAAGAGGTACTTTAAGGAGGAGTTCTCAATAATGACCAGTTTTGTATGCCTCGAAGGACTTTTTCCCCTTCAAATCCAAAGTATTGCATAGGCCTAAAATTATGCCATCTTTGAAAAATTAAGTGCACATTTTATCATCCCTATTTTTAGAAATGTTAAATACATTTAGCAGAAAAATATAAAGAGAATGAAGTGTTATACAAACCACGCAAGGACTGGGATTTTTAAACTGCAATTATAGCCACAGTAAATATCCATTTGCAAGTCATGCTTAGATAGCTTCATAGCTGTTCTTTCAATCTCCAGTAACATTTTTGACCCGGTTATCTGTACTCTAGAAAAATAATAGGCAGACTTACCTAAGAAAATAGTTGTTGAAGTGTGAAGCAATATTCAACCCAAATTATTATTCTCAATACTAGTAATTGGCCGCCCTTATAAAAATTGGTAATAGTCAACAATGTTTTGTGGCTGAATTGTGCCATTGTTTTTTTATTAAACTATTTCTTTATTGTTTGTTATCCATTCAGTTATGTCCAATTCTTGGCAATTCCCTGTTCTAGAGACTGTATTATGAGATATATGGCTTAGAATCATAACTAACACAGTATCTTAATATGTTGGCTTTTATCTTTACCCATGGTAAAATTATATTACTTAATAGGTAATCTTGAAAACTCTTGAACTATATAGGAGTCTTTTTGTACATCACTACTCATTCTAGACTCTCCTCATAGTTAAGCCCACCTCAAAAAGCATACAAGAGAAACATTTAGAGCACATTCTATATACAGTAATTAATGTCTTTCACCCACTGAATTCTATGCTATTTGGAGGGCTTCCTTTCCTGGCTTAATACGGGTGCATAGTGTCTGTCTGCAGCTTCTTCAAGGTGCTTCGTGATCTTGAAAAAAAGATGAATTTAAGAAGTTTAAGAAGTTCAAATCAAATCAAACTGATTTTATTCTATTTGAACTTTTAAGCTACTTAAATTCATCTTTTTTAAATTTAATTGATTTGATTTGGTTTGGTTTTAAGTTACATACAGGTGCTACAGGCATTCTAAAGTATCATTTTGTTTATAAATCTAAAGTGTTGTGTAGTCCTAATAATTATTGCCTAGCACAGTGGTTCTCAACCTTTTTAATGCCGTGACCCCCAACTGGTCGTAAGTCGAGGACTACCCAACTGGTCATAAGTCGAGGACTACCCAACCGGTCATAAGTTGAGGACTTTCCCTGCCCGGGAGTACTGCGCATGCGTGGTGCTGCCCCCTGCGCCGGCCGAGACGTAGCTGGCAAGCGGCAGAGATGGCGCAGGCCGACCACCGACTGGGCCACCAGCTGGCCCAGCCCAAGGGAGGTAAGGCACCCGCCGGGCCCCATGCGTGCCAGCAACCCTCCCTGCGCCCGCCAGCCTCCCACCTCCCACCCCTGGTTCTCTTTTACTTACATTTTTAGTAGTTGCTCAGCAGGGAGGGGTGGAAACTTCCAGACAGCTTGCCTTTGCTGCAGACAACTTGCAGCACCGTTTGCAGAATGGGACTTTTGGCGGGCTCAGCAGGGCAGAGACAGCCTGGACAATTCCTATTGGCTTTTGAAAGCCAATAGAATTAGACTATATTCAAGAGAGTCTATTCTATTGGCTTTCAAAAGCCAGTAGAATAAAAGGGAGTAGCACAGCTAAGGAAAAGGGGAAAAAAATGGCGGACTGCGTTTGGCGACCCCCATGAAATGGTCGTTCGACCCCAAATGGGGTCCCGACCCACAGGTTGAGAACCACTGGCCTAGCAGAAAAAAATCCTTTGCATTTGTTACTATTAATTCTCATTCCATTTTAGGAAAGAGAATTTGCTTATGGTCGGAACTTTTTAAAAGCCTATGGGTGGGTGCAATTCATGTATCCTTTTATTATATAACCATCTTTTTTAGCATTCCGCATCTCTCTGGCTTCCCAGAGGAAATATTTTTTAAGTAGCATTGCTACTATCATTACTACAGTAGAATCTTTCCCCCAAGAAATGTTTGGAGATGAATCTATCCTTTGAGAAGTTCAGAAAAATTGTCCACCCAATGGTATCTCCCCTGCCAGGTAAGTATGTCACCCAATATCTTTTCCCATAAGAATTTCAAAAAGATTTATTGTGCTCACCTCTAATTTTAATTGCAAGGTCTATCTGAAGTCATTTTTCCTGTAGATTAGAGGAGGAGATATTTTTGTAAATTCTTACTATTTTCTTTCCTCTCTGAATATTCTATTTTCTGGCTATCTAAGCACCTTCAGCTTTACAGTATGCCTTAAAGCTAGGATCTGACTTGAATCGTAGCATTAAATGCCTGCATTTTGAAAACTCTAAGAAACATAATAAAGGATCATTTATTCAATGAGATTTTTTTCCCATTTTGACTCATCAACTTTTAAATTATTAGTTGTTTGCTTCCTTGATTCACCTTTTTGGTATAAGCAAAAATTTGATAAATATTTGCCAGTTAAAATAAAAACTCATTTTGTATTATTTAATTTTAATGAATTTTTGAAATTTACTGTGCCACTAACTGCATGTAATATAGCAAAAGGAAAGAATTTTTAAAATATATTTGTAAATGAAGGATGAATAGAAAATTATTCTAATATATGTGGGATGGACAGAAATTGGATTGTTTAACTAGATATATCCTTTACATATGTCTTCTGCTGTTGGTAATAAAAAAAAAATATTAATTTTAATGTATGGTGAGGGAATTAAAGAGAAAGTAGATACAAATGTACCTTATCCAATAAAATGAGGACTTCACAAAGAATTCATGTATGTTAAGCAATTAAAACTCGGGGGGGGGGGACTACACTGAAAAAAAGCAATATTCCATTTTGAGTTTCACATTTTTTGAGATTTGGTTCAGTATATTTGGCAGTTCAGCACTGAGTATGCAAATGAAGTCATATTCAAGGGTCTGGCAAATTGAGGGAAAACTATGCTGGTAGCTGCTTCAGTGGGTCATAGAACGCACATTAAGATGGAGAGAAAAGGAAATTGGGTCCTGCACTAAATATGTTGTGGTGCATCAGAATGTTTTTATATATAGATGATTTTAAAGGAAATACCAGCACTACCTGTATTATTATGGCAGATTACAATTGCTAGGAAAACTCCAACAAATATATTTATTTCATCTCAATCCCCAATGTATTCTGTGAAACATATTTTATGTATTATAATGATAGGCAAAAAACAAAAGTATTTCAGAACAGTTTTGGTTATAAGTATTAATCCAAAAATTTATCCAAAAGTTTTATATAAATCAGTCAAAATAAAGATGTTTTTGTGAATTATAAACTATTTTGCAATTTTTAGCTTCTGGTTTAATATATTACTATATAGTATAATTATGGTATTAATTACTAATTACACTAATATATAGTACTATGAATGGGATTTGGTCTTATAATCTTTATGTGTCTTCTTTGGTCTTATAATCTTTATGTGTCTTCTCACTGACAATATATGACTTAGTGTATAAGGACATGACAATGTATAATGCTAAATAAAATTACAATATTATGTCCTCTAGAGGATACACATCATAATATTATGTTCTTTATTTAGGTTCCTATTTAGTTTAAATATTTGTGATTTGTTTTCTACTATTATGTACAATATTTGTTTATTACAGCCCGACGAATGCTGGATGTTAAATTACCACAAATGTTTTCTAATGCATTACCATCAATTTAGATTTAAGACCATTTCTGCATCTGAAAATAAGTATCAAACATTAGTATAAAGAAGAATAAATTCTAGGCAAAGCTCAAATTACAATCAGGACAGAAAGCATCATTATTTTAAAGAAACTACAATGTTAGAATATTTTGTTAACAAGAAAACAAACTCTTATAAAAACACTATTTTAAGCTTCCACCTTCCTTTCTACCATTATATATTATTCTGATACAGTATAGTAATAAAGTAGTAGTGGAAAATGTAGGTACATTATTTGTGGGGAACCATTAAATTGCCTAAGTGTACTAAAGTGAACTATGTTTATTAATAACACACTGTAAAATCTAAATATATTTTTAAACTTTTGTTGCTACAGTGCATCTATTATTATGGAGTCTTCAGACCAGAAGTTATAGTGCAAGATTATAATTTCTCATTTATTTTAACCAACAGCTAATGAAGTGTTTGGTTTTTATCTTTCAGGTTTAAACATCAGTGGCTTAAAGGAACAAAAAAGTAATGGAACCAGTTCTGAGCCCAGTTTTTCATCTCTGGAGAGGAAAAGTTCTTTGCCAAGGTAAAATCATTAAAGTGTTTCATTAGTGAATTGTTTCAGCTATTGCTGAGAAATGCCTCTGGGAATTTCATGGAATGCTGACAACAATATTTTGATCTCTGGGCTACAGTTCAGATTTGTGATTTTCTAAAATAATAACTTTAAAGACAAGTACACCTTAGAAAATATTTGTACTAAAGTCAGGTATTGTTTTGCAGCTGTTGTTTTATTTTAAGACTCCATTGACATCTCAGTGAACCACAGATTAGCATGTACAGCTGCTCTCAGTAGGACTACTTAGAGACCAGACAATGGAAGTTGTCAAGAAAAGGGCAGACGTAAAACATCAAGTCTTCAAGAAATAAAATGGTGTGTCATCTCCTGGATGGAGTTGAGATGTAAATGAACTTGTTCAATACCTCTTTTTGTATTCACTAAAATGCTAGATTATCTGGGTTTTTTTTTTTTTTTTGTAATTTCAAATTGAGAGTGTTTAATTAATGCCCTTGTTTTTCCTAAAGAGATGCAATTTATCTGTCCCCCCTCCCAATCCTTGTTCTTTGGGTGATTTTGCGTTACACTTTTTTTTCTGTCAGCAGCATGATTCAAATTGCTAGCAATCAAGAGGTATAAGTCAATGAAGCATAGTAAATAATTCTGGAATTTTAAATTGGCTTTAGAATGTTACATAATAATTCTCAACACATTTCCATAGCCTGATTCATCTTGTGCTGCTCTGTGTTTGAAAGTTTCATTTGTATTTTCTGATATTTTTATTGTTATACAATAATATATCCCTACTTAGTAATATTTATAACTTTTTTTTACTTTTAACTATATAATTATGAAAATTGGTACTCTGTAGTCATGGAATAAAATTAATTGAGCAGCCAATAGAATAAATAGTAATGCACTTTGTACACTGTACAGTGCAATAATTTTCTTATCTGATTTTCAGGAACTGAAGTTGGAGAATAATACTATCTGAAGTTAATTTGTTAAAATATATTAGCTACAGTTTCATATAGTTTTCATTTCAAATAGTTATTGCTATTTGAAGGAATAATAAGCCAAAGAAGTATCTTCAAATACTATTTGCTATATAAAAAGAATAAGCATATTGTAAACACTATCAACATTTTTTAAATGTTCTGGAAACATGCTTTTATAATATGAACAAGCAGTTTCTTATATATTAAATTACTGTTCATATAACACATTCTTTAGCATAAAGAAGCAAGGAACAAAACAGTCTTATTCTAATGGGGAAAATTTATTGCACAGTATAACATGAATTAATAGTTATTTTTAAAACACTTGCATTTTAATTTTCTCTATAAGGAAAATAAAGGCCTTTTAAAATCACATTGATTAGTAACATTTCCAATCTTATATTGGATGTTTATCTTATAAAGATGTTACAAATAAAGTACAAATAAAGTGTGAAAGAAGGGATAAAGCTCAGGTATTTATTAGCAGTTCAGATACAGAAAAATTTCTTACAGGCTGATGTCTAAAAATTCCACTTATTGTTACTTCGTGCACCTTCTTGCTATTACAAGTGGTCTTGAAAATCAGTACTTGAAAATAAACATAACAGTCTAGTACCGCTGTGGTACATTTAATTCCCCCCCCCTTCACAGTGTTTAGTCACTGAGCTGATGAGCGACTCGTGAAATACCCTGATGGACCTAATTTTTTTTTAAAATGGCTTCCACTGATGTCCTACAGACAATAATTATGATGTGCTAGTTAAGCCCAAACTACAGCTGAGGGATTTTACTTTAAAGCAGAGGCTTGGGCGCAAAAATGCATTTATAGCTCTTTGTCTGGCACCTCATTATGCGTGGACCTGATTCATTAAGTAATTGGTTTGCAGTTGTTTACATGAGTATTAAGGCTTTTATTCAGCAGTCTTTGAGAGATACATTGTGCAAATGTTGCATGTTATGAATGCAGAATGAGGGGCAGTGGACAAGTCCTATTGGCTAAACACTGCACTCTGTTGAAAAGCAAGTAAAAGAGATTGGGTGCTGCTTTGCATAGCAATGACTTTCTTAATAAGCTTTACAGATTAATACACACAAGCCATAAAAGATGCAAAGAGATACTCTTAGCACATTTATCCATGCTCATTTCACTATTATGGCACTGGAGATGGGAAGAATTGAGTGCTTTCATATTCTTTTTTTCCAGTGCAACTTCAGTGCACGAGACTTAATAGAATCCAATGTTTATTGTATTATAAATTGTGGGGGAAGTGGGCAGACCTGCAACAGTTTATTATTAAAGATTCTTTCAATGTAAATCTTTTCCACCATTGTGTGTCCAACAGCAAAATCATTTTGTGGTTGAGTGGGGATGAAAGGCATAATGTACGAAGGAGTGAGTCTTAATAGGAAGCTGCTCTCCGATTGAAGGCCACTTGTTCCCTTTTGTATGGAGATGCATGCCACAGCTTCCTCTTTTCCAGCAAATATTACCCTGTTGTAACCTAGCTGAAAACAATTTTCTTGCCAGAGTTCCACTGCTTAATACAAACATACTTAAACTGGGAAACAAAGTTTCTAATTTAATTACTACAGTACATTCAAAGGAAAAATATTTATATGAAACAAATGATCCAAAAGTAACATATTCTTAGTAGTTATAGCATAATTATCAAACCAATGGTTGCAGCAATGTGTGTGGCATTTGATTGCTCTGTAGCAATACAATCAGCCAGTGGATGTCAGTAGCAGACTGTCCTTGTAGGTTTGGGCTAGATGCAATGTCTTTTCTTAGAGCCTTTTCTTTTGCAACATCTGAATGTAAAAAATAAAGCCCAAAACATTTAAGTTAGTTTCCTCAAGTATGCCTTAAGATTTCAGTATATTCTTATTTACCAGGCTATCGATTAAGGACAATAGGATTTGCTTTTGAGTTTCATAAAATTCTTATCTGATTTGATGTTTAATTTGCCTTTTTTTAAACAGAAGTGTCTTTTTCTTTAAATATTTTGTTCACTTGAATAAATTGCTGGTTACTTGAAGCTGTTTGTACTGATGATTTCAAGTACTGTATATCGTCTGATAAATGCTTCATTTTAATCTTCTCAGATAACTACAATGACCAGAAGGGGTCACTGTTTCTTTGCTAAATTCAAGTTGCATTTCTCAGTCTATTTCGATTTGAAATTTATATTTTAGCAACTATTCAAATCTGGGCTAAGTTTTAGTTTCAAAAAGCTTCAGTGCTGCTGGTATCAGTTTATATTCTTGAGAGTAGAAGAATCTTTTGATGGTCATTGTAGATTTTGATGTCATTTGCATAAAATGCTCAAGATGGCCTTTCCTGGATTCCCTGTTCATGGAAGACATAGCCCAGATATTTAAAGTGGTTTGATTTTTTTCAATTCTGCTCAATTAACTAAGCGTGCTGTCTTGATTTTTAATTGAAAATCATAATTTTAGATTTCTGGCAGTTTATAAACAGCCTGTTGCTCATCTATACTGTCCCCATATTAGCAATATAAAGGAATGAGACAGTCATCACTCTTATTCTTCTCTTTCTTTAAGCCTTCTGAATAAATGTGACCAAAGTGTGATTGTGGCACTAGTCCTATCACAATTTCTAATGAAACTACAGCACAGTTCAAAACACTGATAAAAGTAATAAGCCTGATAGATAGAAGTGGACGAATGACTTTGCAGATGACATTGCCTTAATACTGCTTAAGCTAAATAAGCTTTTTCCTTTGATCATTGGAGACATATTAAAATATGGATAGGTAGTGAATTTTGAAATTAATTTTAGAAAGGCAATGGCTTTGCTCATGAACATCAGCTCCAAATTAGAGAAGGAGGAAAGTTAAATAGTTCTTTAAGAGTTATCACAAATAAATTATCTTGGACTTTAAACATAACTTTTCTGTGTGTACACTAATTCTTGAACTAGAAGAAAATTCTAAGGGGCAATGTCAGTGCCAGATTTTTAAAGTGCAAACTTAGTTATTAAAATACTTATGTATAGATGGTTGGTGATAAAAAAAAGAATGCTTTATGGATGCAAAAACCGTTAAGATCCTGAAGTTCTTAAAAGAAAGTTTACAGAACTAATGCTCTGATGGTGTTATACTCCATTTTTTTAGCTAAATGTTGATATAAGAATTGTTGAAAGAGATATGGTAACATTGAAAAATACTGGCATGTTTGGTGAGATCATGCAAAGATTTGGAAATATTTTCATTTTTCTCCCCACTTAACGAAAACAAAAATAAGTCTCCCCCCCCCATATCTAAAAATGCTGGCTGGTCTTACTTTAGGGGCTTGCAAAAGGTATGTGTATATAAGATCCATGGAGTACCTGCCATTAACTTAATGTAAATAAGCATCTGCTTTTTGTATTTTGGCTTGTGATTGTGCATTGATAGTGGAAGATTCAATACTGAAAAAAATGAGTATTTCTTCACACAGCACAACTATAGAATGTTATAGAAAGTAGAGTAATTCATAAAGGAATTAAACTTTTCAACAGTAGAATACATTATGAAATAATATTTTTATTGAAAAGCATGGTAGGGAGATAATTCTTCCTTTTGAGTGGTTTGAGTAGGAATCAATTCCTTATTCAAGCCCTCTTGAATTTCTGGATTCATTTAGCTTCTCCAACTAAGATTTATGTAAATAGTGTAAAATCCATAAGACAAAGTAATATAATCAGCTTTTGAAGATTGACAAGATATTGTTTCAGTAATAAAGAAGTCATAAAGCTTGTATACAAAATGGCCTTATGTGACATTATGGCAAACTGCTTACTTCTATCTTTGGAAAAAATAGGCATGTACCAAACTTCTTTGGAAAATGAACAGAGTTTTGAACTCAGCAGTAGTTTGTGCCCACATCACTTATGGTTAAGAACTCATAAAACAAATTGATAGACGATTTATTGTAGAACATTGCAGAGATAATTTTTTAATTATGGAAGATTTTTCTGCAGTCATTTGTTTAACTCTAATTAGATGTTTGTGATCAGGATTATGGCTATACAGAAGTGGCAAAGGAAGACCCGGAAGCTTAAGAAAATGGTCTGAAGTATCACTCATGTTCATAATTTTAATATACTGAATTGATATATATGTATATTTATACATTTAGTTTATGCTATTTCCTATCTTCCCACTTCATATACATACATCTATGAATATAAGCACTTTTATTATATCCAAAGAGAAGTTTCTGAATCTAAAAATATGAATTCAGACGCTGCTGCACCACCATTGTACAATATGCATTTTTTCGTATGTTAGCCATTATTTATGCAGATATCTTACAATAAGTATGACATTTCTTTCTATAAGCTTATAGCAGTCCTGTGGAAATCTTGAAAAAAGTACATTATTTCAGTTGGACACTCTTTCATATAGTGCTGCTGCCATCTGAACACCTAATCAGACATTTTTTTCCCATGATAATCTGTCCCTAACCTGGTCTTTTAGGTCTTCCAACAATGCACTCTTATTTACTGTAAATGAATCCATCCAAATTATTCGTCCTATTCTTCTCTTTCCTTCTAGCTTTTCCAACACTAGACCTCCTGAGAGTTAGGTCTAAGTATAGTATATCCAAAGTAAGATAATTTGAACCTGGTCATTTGTACCTATAGTGAGAATTCTGAGATTATTTGTTCAATGATCTATTTGTTTGTTTTCCTGACTATCCACAGTATTTATAGAAGCTTTCTCCCACATCAACATTCAAAGGCATCAATGCTCTTCCTACTCTGGTTCTTTAAATTCCAGCTTCCACTTCCATTGAGCTTTGCAGAGAATATCATTGCTTGCACAAATCTGATCATTGTAGATCAGTGGTTCTCAACCTGTGGGTCGGGACCCCATTTGGGGTCAAACGACCATTTCACGGGGGTCGCCAAATAACGCAGTCTGCCATTTTTTTCCCCTTTTCCTTAGCTGTGCTACTCCCTTTTATTCTATTGGCTTTTGAAAGCCAATAGAATAGACTCTCTTGAATAGAGTCTAATTCTATTGGCTTTCAAAAGCCAATAGGAATTGTCCAGGCTGTCTCTGCCCTGCTGAGCACGCCAAAAGTCCCATTCTGCAAACGGTGCTGCACCAGTTGAGTAGTCCTCGACTTATGACCGGTTGAGTAGTCCTCGACTTACGACCGGTTGGGGGGGGGGTCGCGGCATTAAAAAGGTTGAGAACCACTGTTGTAGATAAAGACACATCCCAGCATTTGAGTATCTTTTCCAAGGCATTCATGGCTGTTGTTGTACTTGGTAACTTTTTTGACTGCTTGTTCCATTATATTGATAGCTGGTTCTAAAAGGCAGAAGCTATTCACCATTTCAATATTTTCACTGTATATTTAAAGGCTAGTGGTTCTACCTGTTGTCACTGGTTTGGTCTCCTTCATATTTTATTTTAGTCCCGTTATTTTCATTGTACTTTATTTTTACTAGTAGACTTCTCATAATAAATATACAGCATATAAGTTGAATAAATAAAGGGAGAGTATAGAGCCACTCTGTTTTGCCATGTTCTGACATAGGTTTCACATGAGGACAATGAGATGTGCTGGGATTCCCATTTTTTTAAGCACATTCTACAGCTTGATGCGATCAACACAATTGAAGGTGTTTTTGTAATCAATGAAATACATAGTAACTTTTGTTAGATGTTCTATGGATATAACTTACTTTCAGTGGAAATTTATTTCCTCCAAGCTAGTAATTTCCCATAAATATATATATACTTTTATTAAACAACTTACAAGCTTGTGTTTCTTTGCTAATTTTTAAAAATATTGTTCCTGCTGTTATTTTTCTGACTATGATGTTAGTTTGCTACATGCTGAATATTTTGTATAAACATACATGAAAATGAATAAAAATCTTAATCCAGAGAAAATGGCAAAATGGTCTGAAACTAGGAATCTTAAACTGTGAAATACAAATATCATTTTGGGTGGGGTTGGCTTTGATTAAAACTGAATCCTAATAATGGCGAAGTTCACTGTTCTTAGAATTCATTCTAATCTTAAATTATGTCCAAATATATCCACTGCCCTATATCAGCACTGATATATCTTTTTCTTTTACAGAGATGAAAATCAAAGAGGAATAATATCTACAATAAAATCTAAAGGTATGGCTTTCATCAGTTGTAGTCACCTAATCCAATTCAAGATTTTTTCTGTTTTCCTTCTGGCAATAGAGAATCTTGCTAGGGTTCATGTAGTCCATGTAGTAACATCTTGAGTCTAAGAAGCCTGTAAGAAAGAATGAAAGAACATAAATGTGTGCCCTTAAGTCAGTCTTGACTTTTGAGGACTGCCAGGACTAATTTTCTTGGCAATATTTTCAGAAAGGGTGTTTTTCTTCTTTTTGAGCTGAGAGAGAGGTTACCCAGTTGGCAAGGTGGAACTAGAAAAGCAATCTCTCACTTCCTAGCAAGGCACCTTTAATCTCTACACCAAATTACCTTTAGTTATTTGCAAAATAAGTCTTCATCTTGTGATCGTGACTGTAAAGAAATCTTGAAAGAGGGCTAATAATTATCTTCATATCTGTGGCATTTACAAAGAGGAGCAAATGGGATCACAGTCATGTAAACAGCATTGTGATACAAGATCCATCCCTTTTCTATGTGCATTTCAATACTTATGCCTTCCCCCAATAATAGGCTTTACATTGCAACCTCCTTTCATTATTTTGAAAATAGTCAGACCCTGAAGATGCTGCTTCTTCACATCTTCTGTCAATGACTTCCACATATATTACACATTATATGAAAAAGCACTTCTTTTTTGTATTATACAAATTTAACCTTATCTCTACACTGTAAATCCTAACTCTGTTAATTCAGATGTGAGCCCTCCAGAAATTGGATTTCCATTACTCTTGACCAGTGGCCTTTATTATTGAAACTTATGGAGGCCAGAATCCAACATCTGAAGAGCCACAGGTTTCTAGCCATTAATTATAAGGAAAGTGCCTGAGCCAAGGGATTTCTGCATCATTTTTAGCTCTACAGAAGCCTTTTTGAAGATAAGCAGCAGAATATATACCATTCACACTGTGATTGCACTACTTTAAGTTATGTTGATTCTAACTTTTATTTCAGGGGTCTTCAAACTTGGCTCTGGCTGAGGAATTCTGGGTACCTGGCTGAGGAATTCTGGGAGTTGAAGTCCACAAGTCATAAAAGGGCCAAGTTTGAAGAGCCCTGTTTTATTCGATTGTCCAAAACCTAAAGTGGCCATAGATCATTCACATTTTCTTCTGAACTTGAATCGTGGGTGAATAACCTTTCTGTATCCAAAAGCCACATTTTTGAGGATAGCAAAACATTAGGGCAGGGGTCTTCAAACTTGGCCCTTTTATGACCTGTGGACTTCAACTTCCAGAATTCCTCAGCCAGCATGCCTGGCTGAGGAATTTTGGGAGTTGAAGTCCACAAGTCATAAAAGGGCCAAATTAGAAGACCCCTGTATTAGGGCCTTATCCCAAGACCAAGGATAGGGTTTGGAAAAGAGATTGCCTCGTTTTTAACTATGGTTATTTTGAGAGCTTATACTATAGTTTTGTTTCATATATCAACATGGTGATAAATGGCATCTTCAGTTTTCAACAATTATGGAAATTCTGACGGTACAAAACCAGCACCAGAGGACTGCAAGTGGCCCTCGGCCCACAGATTGTCTTCCTCTATCCCAGGGCTTTTCAACCAGTGGTACGGGTACCACCTGTGGTACATTGGCACCTGGCAGGTGGTACTCGACCATCCTAGAAAAGTGGTAGCGGGGGAGGAGAATGAGTTGAACAGGTGGCAGCACTGCACAAGCCTGAGCGAGAGATGGCTGGAGCTGCAGGGTGTCAGGGCTGGAGCTGCAGGGTGTCAGAGCTGGAGCTCAGCGCTGATCCTGGTGCTTCTGCTAAGGCCATAAGAAGAGCCGATTAGCTGGAATGTTGCAGCATTTCCAGGGTCTTGTGATTTACATTCAGATGCTTGGCAACTGATTCATATTTATGAGTCATTTATGAGTCCCAAAGTCATATGAAGTGACCAAAATCTGCTGCAACCACCCAGCAGACGGGGGGAATAAAAACCAAACACCCCCACCACACCCCCGCTGTCAATCCTCAACAGAAATGCTTACAACAATAAAAATCTCAGACAGGAGAAAGAGCGCTGTCTGGGTGGGCAGGCAGGCGTCTTGCTCAGCTGTGCCTTGGGGGGCACTTTTTCAGTGCCATTGTAACTTCGAACAGTCACTAAGCGAACTGTTGTAAGTCGAGGACTACCTACTATCACTTTTTTTCCTTTTTTTTTTTTTTTTGGTCAAGTTTTTGACAACTTGCTAGGCGACTGGTGGTACTCAGATATTGCCATATCCTAAAAGTGGTACAATGGGTGAAAAGGTTGAAAAGCCCTGCTCTATCCTAAGCAGAATAACCTGTTTTATTATGTCAATCATAATATGGATACCATTTTTTTGTATACCAAATGCTAATAGTGACAACAGTGGGTAATTCCTGAGAAATTGTCATTGCCCAAAATGGGAAACTATTTTTTTTTTTTTTTTGGCAGTTTCTGCTTCTTCAGGATTACTATGTCTAAGTCTGAGGCTCTCTTGTATTTCTGCCTTTTTAAAATCTCTTTACAAATGATGCTGACAATTGCCTAGTCCCACTCAATTTTTTCACCTGTATTCACTCAAGAAACTTTTTCCCTTTTGTCTTTTTCTTCAAAAAAACAAAGATAAGGGACTAGAAAAAAATGTTTAATGAAAGTGACAATTTCACAAATCCTTAGATAGGGATGATGAATCAGATGGACCAGGTCCAATCCATAGACCAAAATTTTACAGCTATGATTTCAGTTAAATGGGGGTCATGTAGTATTGAATATCTAGTTGACATTCATTGAAGGCTTAATATTCCCATATATCATGGGTTATTTTAAAATTGTTATGCCTTGTTATTTCTTCCATGTGTTTCCCAATCCAGCTTTTTGGGGTGATTCTGATGACAGCAATTCTGATATTGAAGCAGCCCTACGCCCCCAGGAACACTGTTCACAAGAAGATGGATTCAGTGATTTCTATGACTGAAGACCTAGTTTGATACTCACTTACAAATGATAAAAAGCCAGTAGCAATTTTTAAGGAGGAAAGTGGTTTCAGGAAAGGTCAATCTGGAATGGATACCCTGATGGAATGGATATCCTGATATACCTTACCATTTTAGCCACACCAAATCATCCTTTCTCCTACTTTTACCCAATATTTTTGTGAATGATTATAAGTCTTCTGAAAACCAAACTCAAAGAGCACCAAAATCCCAACAACCTAAGATTTACACCTGGATTTGCTTGAAATCTGAAGTACAAAGAAGAGAAAGGGAGAGTAATTTTGGAGTTGGAAAACTGTAGGCGTTTAATTTATATATTCCCTCCTATACCTGTTCCTTGATCCAGTTGCTTTGTTGAAAAAAGTGTATTCATATACTTGAATGGCCTTCAAACTAATGGATCCAGTTCAGGTCAAAGCAACCACGATGTTTATTAATGCCATTATGAATTTTACATTAAATAAAAACAACTGATAGGGTTGGGATGTTGTTCATATTTGTAGTTTTAATTGTTTACTACTGCTTGCATCAGGAGGGAAGCTTTTAGTTATGGAAATAGTAGTTAAAAAAATTAAAAGCATGATTAAAAGAGTGATGAGGAAATTTCACAAAAAGAGCAATTGTATGAATAATGGCATTTCTGGCTTAGCTCTATATTTTTTTAACTATATAAGTAAAGCATATTATTTCAGAAATCAAGTTTGTAAACGTGTCTTCTTACCCTTAGTTTAGCTTGGACAACACAAGATATTATATTTGTTGTCTTTTTATACTCCCAATAAAGTGTACTGCTGAAAACCTGGAAGAAACTGTTCTCATCTTTTGTTTATATTTGGAAATTAAATAATCCTTGCACACTGAAATAAACAGGATCTTGACAGTCAAAAAAGATTTGTTCTGATCCAGCAATTCATTGTAAGCTATGGTATTAAGTATTTGTCTCATGCAAGATTGGTGATTGAGTCACAGAACAGTTTGCAATCTTATTTTTGTCTTCAAAGTGTTTTACAAACATGTCACACTGAACTACTAAGGATTCTATTAGACCAGTGCTTCTCAACGTTTGTGTGACGGCGACCCCCGTCACACAAACGTGCCACGCATGCGCGGCACCACCCCCATGCACAGCGCGCATGCGTGGCGCCGCCCCCCGAGGGGGAAAAATGGCGGATCGCCTTGTTTGGCGACCCCCGAGAAATGGTCAATCAACCCCAAATGGGGTCGCGACCCATAGGTTGAGAACCGCTGTATTAGACCATTCCCCAAACAAGAACCTCTAGACTTTGGGCCCTCACAATGCCTCCACTGGATGGAATAAAGTAGATACAAATTCCCTTGATTTATATTGCTTAGTGACCATTCAAACTTATTACAAAGGTACTTATGACCCAGTTCCAAAGTTCTGATGGCTGGCCCCAAATGGTCACATGACATTTCATTAGCAACAGCCCACATTTAAGGCCATTTTGCAGCATCCCACAATTTACCTTGTTGCCCAAAGCCAGCATTTACTTCCAGGTTTTGGATAAAAATGTCTCATAGCAAACAATGGATTTGTTTAATGACTGCAGTGTTCACTTAATGACTGCCACCCAAAAAGCCATAAAATTGGGTTGGTCATGTGATAATTTATAGGCTCCATTACAGTTGAAAGTTTAAGATTACCTAGACACTGGTAGAAGAAAACATTTAATTTTTGCCTGTATCACTGCCATAGATTAGGCTTGATAATCAGATGTTACTAATATTTGATCAGATTAAAGATGAATTTTCCATTTCCTAGTAATCCCTGGTTTATTTCATAGGCTTGGGTGTTCACTCTGAGCTGAATGAATTCTGGTGGGAGAAAGCATTCATCTTCCCCTCCTCAGCTAAAATTTACAGTGTTTATAAAGATCAAGGGAGAGAAGTAATTTAAACATAAGGATGGTCAATAGCCTTTTGATTTACAAGATCTATTGTTTCATTCTCTCTCTGATAGTAGAGAAATAGGAAAACTCCTTCATCTAGTGATTACCTGGAGTTTGGCAGCCCATATCTGACTACCCTAACTAATCACAACATATATGCAACATGCCAGTTAATTTATTGTATATATAACATGAAATAAGATGTGCAAATCAGGTAACTGAGATTTCTCTGCCCTACAATGCACTCCGTGATGGACTAAATAAATGGATAGTATTTTCCCCTTAAATTAAATGAATTTGATTAACTGTGTAATCAAATGGACTGTTCCCACGGTGTGCCCAATGTCTCCCTGCCCATTACAAACAAATAATGGAAAGGAAGGACACCATGTTAATTCGTTAGTAGGTCTCTTGTCCATCAACATCATTCTAGCAAAGCTCTTTCTACAAAAACTCCAGTCAAGGGAGATTCCGATACAGATCTTGAGTATGCAAAAAAAAAAAAAAAAGTGTTGCAAAAAAAAAAGTGTTTTATCACTGAATCGGATTCCATCAATGAACACACAATACAGCAGCCTTCTACAATCTGGTTCCATGCCAGATGTGTGGAACCTCCATACCAAAAATTCCAATAGATGGGTAAAGAAAGTCACTTCACTTGCGGGCCGTCGGATTGACGAAGGGTACAATCTAGTGGGCTACAGCTTCAAATACGGAGTTCAAATATGCCAAATTCGGATGTATGGAGGGAACGCCAGTTGGTAAAAATTAGAAAAAACAGTTTTTGAAAAAGCAAAATAGAGCAAAAATAAAACGACGGATATGCTGGCGATTTCCCCAAAATGTCCTCCAACCAATATTATTCTCACTAAATTTACTAGCTCTCAATGAGTACCCAACGCAGCTCCCCGCCTTCACCCGCCACGAGACAACCCAGCTCCTCCAGCAGCCACTCGAAACCGAAACCGCTTTTCCAGTCACTTCGGCCAAGCAGGGGAGTTGGAGAAATTACGTCATTGGCTACGTTCCCCTACGCGCTGCGCAGTTCCGTCTTTTTTTACCCATCGTACTAGGGGTGACCTGGTGACCCGGACATCTTTCGTCGCCGGTTTTGTCGAGGAAAGGTCTGCGCACCCAAGGGTCCGGGGCGACTAATGGGGGTCCCGGCGTTTTTCCGGTGGCTGAGCCGCAAATATCCCTCCATCATCGTGTCCTGCACTGAGGAAAAGGTGAGCGAGAAAAAAAGGGCGCTTGGCGGGACGGCCGCTGGCGCTGCGTTGCCGCGGCTTTTGGAGCCCGCGTTGCTTTGGGCCCGGAAAAAAAAAAAAAAAAAGACGGAAGAGCTGACGGATCTCTCCCGACTTGTTATTTCTCTCGCGAGATGTTATTACGTCTGGGGAGAATCACTGCTTCTACTTTCTCGTGGAACGGATTGTTAGGCTTCGCAATGGTGGTTCTGATTTTATACAGCAGAGATGGACAGCATGATTTGGTTTTCAGAAGCCAAACAAAACAGGCTTTTCCAACTTAAATATAGCGCTTTCGGCCGATTGTAATATGTGCATGTTGATAAGCTAGGAGATTAAAATCGGGCTTGTAGCACATTTTGATAAAATATGATTCATAGAAAATAATTGTTTAGGTAGATTGCTAGTTTTATTGAATCCGGTTCAGTTTGGTAAAGCCAATGCTCTAAATAAAATGGATACCTGAATAGGCATATGTACCACTTAATTTTTGCACATATATGAATAATTACCTTCTACACACTTGCTTCATAACTGTCAATCCTATTAATAAAATGTTGCTGCTTAAGGTGTTGCACTGTAAACTTTCCAAGTTAAATCTGTTATGAAACATTCTATTCTTTGTTCTTGCTTTCGTAAAAGTCTGGCACAACAATTTGGTTAGCCCAGTAATAAAATAAGAATTGGAAGGAATCATTTATGTCATCAAGCCCTCTTCTCTCCAATGTTAATCCAATAAGATCAGACTAGCAGTGGAGAATATAATGTTTTTCTTAGTTTGTAACTGAAATCTTCTGCTGACTTAAAGCTATTTTTCTATGTTCTGTAAGCTGTGACAATATGGGACAGGTATGTTTGTTTTGTACTTGAAGAGTGCTCTTATGTTTTTCTCAATAGTGATTTTTTCAAGGCTTAATAGAGTTCCTTCAATCTTTTCAGATAGATTTATTTCATAGTCTGATCATTCTTACCTGTCTTTGTATCTATCCTAATTTCTTAGAATCCTTAAAGTGTGAATCCAAGAATTATATTCAGTATGCAGGGGCAATTTAGTAGGACCATTGGAATAGGATAGGATAGACTTGGAGGTCATCTAGTCCAACCCCCTGCTCAGGCAGGAAACCGTATACCATTTCAGACAAATGATTGTCCAATCTCTTCTTACATACTTCCAGTGTTGGAGCATTCACAACTTCTGGAGGCAAGTTGTTCCATTGATTTATTGTTTTAGTTGTCAGGAAATTTCTCCTTAGTTACAGATGTTGCTTCTCTCTTTGATTAGTTTCCATCCCTTGCTTCTTGTTTTGTCTTCAGGTGCTTTGGAGAATAGCTTGACTCCCTCTTCTTTGTGGCAGCCCCTGAGGTATTGGAACACTGCTATCATGTGACCTCTTTTCATTAAACTAGACATACCCATGATTTAGAAAGTATGTTAATGTTGATACAATCTAAACATGCATCTACCTTCTTTATGTTGGTGATTTTTTATTCATTCATTCAATTTGGAAACATTGAATGGATTTTTATTTCAGTTAGAATTACTGAAACCAGATGTTCCCATTCTGTATCTATCTAACTGGTTTCTTAAACACATAACTTTATGTGGTATTTTTAGGCTATATATCGAAGATATTATAATTTTGAATTTTCTTTTCCTCTTACAAAGAGTTAGCTATCCTGATCATCATTATATCCTCTGTAAATCTGATAAACATTCCCTTCATCTCCTTATATAGATAATAAAAGATTTGGGAATACAGAGTCCAGGCATGAATCTTTTGATACTGAATACCTTCCTCCTTACAATGAATATGGACTTTGTTTTAACACATTTATACAGGTAGTCCTCAACTTATGTCCATTTGTTTAGTGACCATCCAAACTTGTGATGGCACTGAACAAGGGGAACTTACAACAGGAATTTGGAGTTTTGGCTGTCTCAGCAACCCATAATCATGTAATCACAATTTGTTATCTTCTCTGTTGGCTTCTCACAAGCATAGTCACTGAGGAAACTGGCAGGAAGTCAGAAGTCATGGTCACACAGGGTCCTTGCTTAATGACAACTGGGACTGCCAGAACTGTTATCACTAAGTGCCACCATCACAGGCAATCATTTTTTTGTGACTGTCACTTAGTAGTGTCAATTCTGGTTCCAGTTGTTAAGGACTACCTGTAATTATTTCTGGTACAACATTGTTTTCAAAGTGCTTGCAGATTGATTTACATTACAATGTGTTTTGCAGTCCTCTCATCTTTTCTGTTCCACTTTTAGCATGTGTGCTACGAAAGTGAATAACTATGATCTTCCCAGGCTATTGATTAATCTGTAGTTTCTTCATCTAGCATTTTTTCCAGAGTATCATAAAAATAATAATTTAAGAACACAAAAAAACTGGATTTGAAGATTTAAACACTTTCAAAGTAATCAGATATTCCCTGCTATCAATCTCTAGCTCAGTGGTGGCGAACCTATGGCATGTGTGCCAGAGGGGGCACTCGAAGCCCTCTCTGTGGGCATGTGTGCTGCCACTGCCAGCAGCTTGCGCAGGTCCATTAGGCTGCTGCTGCCGCAAAGCGGCCAGTTAGCGAGCTCAAGTAGAGATGGTAGAGCATTCCCATATCCAGCAAGCCAAAGGCCACCCCAAGCAGGGAAAGCCGGATCCCCATCAGCGCCATGGCCCCCCAGTCCCAGCTAGGATTGCATACCTCCCCCCATCTATGTGAGCCTCCTGCCCACCGCCCCACCCACCAGAGACCTCACGGATCTCCCCCAACCCTGCCCGGCCCCCACAGGTGTCCCCCCATGAGCAGCATCGAGGTGGCCATGCCCACCCCAGCCACGCCCACCCAGTGGGCCACACTCCCATGCCCTCCCCCTGAGGGCACCACAGTGCCCTGGCACTTTGCGATAAATAAGTGGGTTTTGGGTTGTGGTTTGGGCACTTGGCCTCTAAAAGGTTCGCCATCACTGCTCTAGCTTATAAGTCAGCTCAGTTTCCCTTAAAATCAAGAACTCCACAGGTAGTCAGTTTCCCTTGGTATTTCTGTTTCTTCCACTTCATTGACCAACTGTTCCCTATTGGTTATGCTTAATTGAAGGATAGTTGAACCTGTCATATATTCCACCATTCAATGAATGAGAAGATGTCAGCCAGACAAGTATTACTCTGGAAGAACTAGCGTTGTTTCCCAAAAATATTGGAGTAATTAAGGATTACATCGCTATGATATCAACCCCTTTTGATTATCTGCAGTTTGCTTCTGGAACCGATATTGTCAGAACAAATGAATAGTCAATGGTACAAAGTTGCTGCTTTTATTTCTTCTTCAATTTATTTCAATATAAGTGCTCATAACAGTGCCACTAAGTGGGGGTTCTATGTGAAGTAGATTTTTTTAAAATATAATAACATCCTTCATCCAGTGTATTGTTTTTGCTCCTTTTAAATATATGTATTATTTAATTGCAGTATTCCAATTTTATATTCATCCCACAATGTCTCTTGTCTCATCTATTAAAATGTATTTACAGGTATATTCCTTTGATATTTCCTGTGCCCTGAACATTAGTTTATAGTCAATAAAGGCCATGGAACCAATACCTTCTGATTGGTTTTTTGAGCTTTAATACAGTAGTTTGCAGTTCTTTATTCATTTTAACCCAGATACTTTATATCAGGGGTGTCAAACTTATATCAGGGGTGTCAAACTGCCGGCCCGCGAGCCGGACGCATCATGTGGAAGCCACGCCCACCCCATTGCCAGCAATGGCAAAACCGGCCCGATACGTTGTGACGTCGCGAGTTTGACATGCCTGCTTTATATAGAATTACCAAGATTACTTGCTTGGATTTCTGTACATGCATACTTTTAATGTACAGTGCAACCTTTCCTTCTTTGTAGTCTACTCTGAGTAGATTGTATCCTTTCATTATTCTTATCATATGAGTCATTAATCCAAGTCATGTTTAACTTCCTGTGCTATAAATTTTAGTCATAGAATGGGATGTGAGTTCCCATTCTATGAGTTCACAGTTTCAATAATTTAAATTTTTACAAGGTAGAGAAGGAAAGGCTATGGTATATTAAATTAATATCAGAAACTCATTTTGTATAAACTGCTTTGCAAATTGGAGTAAAATACTGTAGAGATTTTAATGTAAGAACAGTGGTAATACACGTGAATGACTGAGACCTGTAGTCACTTTATGTCTTGACTTATAAGATTTCACAGTCACATGCTGCTATTGTATATGAAA